TCTATCTATCTATCTATCTATCTATCTATCTATCTATCTATCTATCTGTGTGTGTGCGTGTGTGTGTGTGTTTATATAGATTTAGATATATCTATATATCAAAATCACCGGCTTGTCAGCTTAATGTTTTCCAGGACATATTTAATTCTGTCCTACCCCACCGATGAAGTGGATATGGAGTAGATGGATGAATATTTCATACAGATGATGATTTGAGGTTTATTTTTGCCTTGAGATTACTAGAACGTTCGGTCCATGCATCTGTACTGGAGCCTATCCCTGCTGCCATTGGATGAGAGGTGGTCTATAAATATGATATATAAAAACATTACAAGGTGGCATTCATGGAAACACAAGCAGCACAAAGTGCGCAACACAAAGAATCCTAAAGTGTGTAATTCCTTATAAAAAACACAGGTTATAACAAAGTATATTAGTTGAGCACAAAAGGATCGGTCAGTAATCTGAAGACAATCAGCATTAAATTAATAAAGTAGCCTACGACAGCGTGAGGGCACATGGTGTACAGCTCTGGCTCACCTGAATTAGAGTAGATAGCTTTTGTGAAGAATATTCTAGACATGAAAAAACATGGACTGAATATTACATTGCAGAGCTAAAAGCTTTGATCTTGAGATATTTTTATTCTACCTAAATTATTAAGTGGAGTCATAAAATTCAAAGTAGAATCACTCAATAGCTGTTCTTTCTGAGCCAGTGCACCACTAAATATAGAAAAGAACGCACAAAGGCTTACATCTACTTGTGTTTAGCGCAGTGAGGAACACAGGCACCCACTTGTCTCTGTGTACTGCTTTTTTATGTGTCAGAAGGTCTTTTATTACCTCTGTATTGACTTCAGCCTGCATCAACCATTTTTTAGCTCCTTTCATTTAATTGGTTGGCCCAGAAGTTCACACTGGAAGGTAACATATGTTCTTCTAGAATTCCAGTATTGCACAAAAAAGAGAAAATGGAGAGGAAGTAGGAGAATTAAACATTTTACACACCTTTTGGCATGGTTACTTGCATGCCCGAACACTTGTGATTCATTTTTGCAATTTATAGCACACTGATAACTGACATTGAGCAAATTTTTGTGTAGATTCTCAATCATCCAGGCCACAGTGATACTATGAGCATGGGTAAAGCCAGCTGCACAATTCAAAACGGAAGAAATCCAGTCACTTAAGCTCTTAGGACTGGCATACATCATATTTACCCAACAGAACACTAAAAGATGAGATGATGAAAGTTAATATTGAAATGTTAAGAAATGTATTCAATGTGCAAAGTGGAAACTTATAAACCAGAGCTAACGCATGAAGAGGTCAACTCAGCATGTATCCACACAAAGTAAAATGACCTAGGTACGCTGATATACCACCCAAGTGTTGAAGAGTCAGTAACATACTTTATTCAACGACCTGTTTTTCCAGTCTTTCATAAATACTGGGACAATAATGGTGCTCTTTTTTATTGGCCGCGTAAAACACTGAAATAACCGTAGCTCAGCTTTGCCTTGCTATAGTAATCACACCAACTGTTGGTTTAACATAGCTGGCAATATCTAGTTTTACCTCTTTCACATCCTGTTTTTTTCTACCTTTTTTGTGGTGGTAACAGAATGTGCCAATGTCCTTTGTGAATGGGGTTTGTGGAGCTTTTTTTACATAGTAAAAAAATATGTCTAAAAATGTGTAATAATAGACGATAATATGATTCCGAATCATTCACGAAAAAATTAACCCCTGTAAAACATTCCTGTGTCTGTGGGGATGTTGCATATTTCAGTTTAAATCTGAGGTTTCCCATCACATATTGTTGGAACTGTTGGAAAGCTAATGTTCTCAAAAGTTGATTGATGTACACAATTTTAGGATACAATCCAAACTGAAGGACACAGAAAACACCCATGCCAACCCAGTTGCAAAGACAAACATTATGTATGTATTTAGAGAATAGATACAAACTCAATAGATACAACTCTAACCTGATCTGGGTCAGGTTAGTATACTCCAGTGAAATATTCTACATCAATAAAGCATAACATTAAGCTGCTTTTAACTCTGGAAATGCTTACCCTTCATCAGTTAGCGTCCATAAATTCTTTTTTAGGCATTTCAGGGAAAAAGGCAACAATTCTAAAAGGGTTCAACAGAAAAATTGTTTTAATTGCTATCAACATTAAGACTTAAATTGCTTGAAAGAGAAATTTGCACCTGTGTGGCCCTAGTTTTGGTAGGTCTAAGCTTGGTTGCAGGTTTTCCAAACTGAGTGTGTTGACGAGTTGTCACTTAGTAGCTGTTGATTACTTGTTCTTTTCCTGAACTTGGCCACAAATCCAAGAAAGCTGAGTAAAAAATGTGTCTGGAGACTGCAGGCCAGTCATTGGCAAACAAGTTATTTCATAAGATGAGTCACTGTAAACGGGGTAAATGGCTACATGGAGACCAATACTTGTTCATTGACAATGTGCGGCAGGTATATCATCACCATACTGTTCTTTGTTGTAAGAAGACTTCATGACCTCACGGGATTTCAGATCATCTCGCTTTAACCCCCCAACACACATCGACACATTTACTATCAATTGTAATGGAAAACAGTCAAGACTGATGTAAAGGCCTTAAGTACATCACACAGCACCACTCATCAAAATGGTTTCACCTTTAAGGTGAACACATAGCAACATCAGTGTTAAATATTTATCAGTAGGCCCCATGATGAAAAGCACTATGTGTCTCTTCGTACCTAAACCATTTTGGATGTGAAGACAGTGAATAGAAAAAAAACATTCTGTGGAATTAAACCAGTATGATAAGAAAATAGACACATTAAAACTTCAATGATTATGATTATTGTTTATTGTTTGTAGAGTTTCAGCCTCTGTTTAAGATTCCTACACGATCTTTTTGGCAGTATTCCCATATTCTTAAAAGCATTCATTCATCCACTTTCTTAACACAGACACAAAAGTTTTGCCTTGCTTTTAGTTGAGCGAAAATATGTTTTTTTCACAGGAAGAAAGATCTACAGGGAAAAGGTTCTGACTGGCAGCAGAACAGGCTGGAAAAAAGTTGCATAACCATCCCTTTTTAATTATGAATACTGTCTTCTGTTGGTTTCTTGTTAGCTTTCCTGAACAAGACAATGATGCACAAACTAAACGGAAAATCCAGAAAATCTGCTATTAATTATCCAGGGAAAATGTCTTTAAAACAGAATCAATATAGTGTATTGAAATAACCCTTCAATGCATTTGAGCCCTTCTTTTTCAAACCTAATGCAGATTTGTGGCGACAAATACGATGCGCCTCAAGCGCCTGGGCATCACGCACGTCCTGAATGCGGCGGAGGGAAACTCCTTTATGCACGTCAACACCAACAGCGAGTTCTACTCCGACACAGGAATCACCTACCACGGTGTGCCGGCCAGCGACACTGACCACTTCGACATCAGCATTTACTTTGAGGAGGCGGCAGAGTTTATCGAGAAGGCCCTGGCATACAAGAATGGAAAAGGTTTGAAGACAAGAACTGAGGGGCCTTACTAAACAACATCCTTAAGACAACCCCATCAATTCTGTTTGGATGAAAACTTTCCACATTTCACTGGTGTTCTCTGTGAAAATACCAGACGATTACATTTTCACATGGTTACTTTAAAGTAGAACATTTAAAACAACTTTTTTCACCAAATGTACACACGGATTCTGCAGTGGAAAGATGCTGATTATTGAAACCTGGAGAAGCAACATTACTAATGGCTAATAGCGAAGTTTAGCTACAAAAAAACATTTCTCTGTCTGAGCGTCTGCCGTTTTTAATTAATTTTATTTTATTCTTGTTAATCATGAAAAACTTCCTTTGTTCTAGTTTTTCATTTCAACATAATGCGCACAACCTGGCAATGAGCAGGTGAAATAAGTATTTGATTATGCAAAAACAAAATGATCGAAACTGCAACACAATTAAATTTATAATTAAACTTGAATTCCGCCACAAAAAAATGTAATAATTTGTTAGAAACCATGTCTCCCTGTTTCTGGTGACATGTGAAGGCCGCGGTTAAATGAAAACCCATTTTCTGTGCTTACATCCACTGCCAGTTGTTCAGGTTGGGATTTAAAAAACATTAAAGGTACTAATATTTCAGAGAGAACCTCAGAAGAGAAAGACATGACCATGGCTAGATGATGCAAAAGTGTCAGTCAAACCTCAAGTAATAGAAATTAACGTAATAAAATGAACACAAAAAAATGTGACTATCGAGCAACAATTTTTAAAGTGATTACCGGTATTGGAACAGGTCTTATGTATATTATTCCATCATGGGATGTTTGTATTTAATAATTTGGTTGCTGATATAATATCTACTCTTGATTGCATCCAGGTTATTTTGTTTTTATAAGGTTTTGTCAAATTGTCAGTGTCTTTTTATGCACTAATGAAAAATGTTAATTCCAGCAAGTGGATGGAATCTGAACTTCTTCTGTTCTAGGCTCCAGTAAAACAGTTTCACATTTGTATTCTTATTCTTCTCCTGTGCAGGAAAAGTGTACGTTCACTGCAGGGAAGGTTACAGCCGGTCCCCGACCCTGGTCATTGCATACCTGATGCTTCGCCAAAAAATGGATGTCCACTCAGCTCTGGCCATGGTAAGACGGAAAAGAGAGATTGGACCCAACGATGGCTTTCTTCGACAGCTCTGCGGGCTAAACCTGAGGTTGGCAGCTGAAGGGAATTTCTTGAACAAATGAACAACGGAGATAGACTGTAACAGAGAACAAAGTGCTCACACTTGGCGTAATTTTTGTGCATCTACAGCTTGAACAAATCACAGGTCTGTAAAGAAACATTCTTGGAAAAAAGTAGAAAAAAGAGTGTGAAATTTAAAAAAAGAAATGTCATAACTTAATCATTTAACTTAATTTTACAGCTAATTTAGGTAAATGCACTTTATCTCGTACATCCTATGACCAAGTAAAATCTGTGAAAAATGTGCTCTACCAAATAATTGAGCAGGAAGTTAAAGGCTTAAGTGTGAAATATGTTTCCAGTTACAATTTTTCAAACGTGACTCTCTGAGCTAAATTTAATTATTTTTGTATGGCATTGCAAGCCTCAGGAACCTTATCTTTAAATTGGTTTGGTTTCATTTTGTGCTGAAAACCCTAAAAACCCAAATGATGATTTTCTATTAAAAAGGCCCATAAAAAATGTTACATTATAAGCCCCCCAGTAGCCCTTAAATCAATAGACAGAAAGGTTGAATAGCAGCTAATGATCCTCCCTATAGTAGAGAGCACTGAAAATATGTGGTATTATGTCTATAATATAATTTGTAAAGTCTCACACTCTACATTTACTACATATATTTAAATACAGTATTTATGGGTCACTCCACCAAATGGGTCCTATTTGTTTGTTGCATATCTCCAAATTAAATACATTTTAAATATATATTTCAGCACTGAATCTAATATCAAACATATGTAACTATTCAAAATGTACATTGGTCATTCTAAATTGACTTTAACTGACTCTTTTACCAAGTCTTTAAGCCAAGGTTTATTGAATTTTATCAGTCTTTTTAACAACATTCGTAGGAGGCAAGTTTTACAGCAAATATTTATTTCTTTGTTCACCAGTCAATAAAGTGATTATTTTAGTAGAATGGCCAATAAGATGTTCTAATACTTAATATTTGTTACCAAAAAAATGCCTTTGTATACACAGAAGATACATTTTTCCTAATCATCCAAAGGTACATTTAAAAAGACCAAGCTCAAGTTAAATGTATTATCATTTAACATATCAAATAGTTTAATAAATGATGGACCTAAAGAAAAATTCCAAATATAAATGGTAGGTCAACATAAAAATAGATAACTGCCACTATCAATGTCCTTCAAAAGCTGTCTCGTTTCTCCTCCCCCTTCCTGGCATTAGCATTCCCACTCTCCTGTAGACACTGCCAACTATTTTAGTCCCAGCTTCTTGCGGAGGAAGATAAACTGGAAAGTGTGATTTTTCTATAAAGACTCAGACTTGTTTTTAGCCTAAGAACACTTGTCTTCTGTGTGTAAGTGAATTGCACTCAAATCAAGAAGAATGCCTGAAAAGGATTTCTTATTAATGTGTTTCTTGAGATATATACTTTATTTGTATTGATAAATATCATTGGTCATTATTTGAATAGCAGAAAAGACAAATAACAGTCTGAAAAGAATTAGATTGGATATTCAGCTGGAAAGTCAAACTTTTGCTGCTTTAACCAAGCTTAGTAAAATAGCAGCTTAGTTTACTTAGTTTTAGCTTAACTTTTCTAGCATAGAATGAAGAAAATTTAAAGTAAAATGCTTAAATAAAGCAAGAGTTATATTGAAAGTTGTTTTGACAATACACATGTTAAAATAGTTAATATGGTGTTAAGAATGGCACGTGTGGTTATTTAGCTGTGAGCTTAACCCTTAATCTCTTTTTTTTTGCACTAAGATAACTCCTCAAAGCAGTCAGATCATCATTTTGATTATTTTCAAGAACAAACTTGATGAAAAGAGATGTTCTTTTTCCACTCTACATTTTTACATGTAGGTATAGCACTGCCAGTATGTTACAGACTTCAAAAGTGAGAAGGTAACATCTTAGTGGTCAATTTTTGCACATTAGTATGTTTACAAGTATGTATTTTCTTGTGAGTTTAAATGCACCTTTTATGTTTAACTGCAGCATGCTCTGTAATATGTGTTTGAACCAAAGTGTTGCTTATTGCCCTTAGTAGACCCAGCTGATCTGTCTATAAATAGAGCATTTTAGTCACAATGCATCATTGTTCCTGTGAGCACTTGTGAGTCATCTTGTGCGTTACTTAGCAGGATGAGATGCAGCCTGATCGGTCATGTCAGTAGGCTTTCATTGAGTCTCACAGATTGTGACACCGCTGTGAAAAAGTGCACTTTATCTAATGACACTCTGGATTGTGGTTCTCCTGTTTTCATACATTCAGTAATAAATAAAATGAAAAAGGTATAGCTGTTTTTTGTGATTTTTCTCTACAATCTTTTAGTTTGTTTGTTTAGATCTGTCCCGCATTTATGCCTCAATTTGTGGACTGCAGTTAGTCCTAATGTGTCTGACAGTGTCCAACAATGGCTTAATCTGGAGGTTTTGAAGGTCTACAGCTATTCCTGAAACAGCTGCAAGATGCTGTTTAAGATTCCCTTTATCCTATAGGGGGGGCTGTAAGACTGCTGACATTAATCTGCTAGCATATTAATCTCAAACGTGGTGGTTTCTTGTATGTACAAGCATAGAAATCGGAGATGGCATGTCTAAGATAAAAATAATTTAAACAGATGTATTTTTGTAATTCTATCAATAGTAAATTGTGAAAAATGTTTAAATGAAACACTCAAAGGGAAAAAATCAAATAAAAACAGATTTAGAAAAACTAAATGACAAAATATTTTTGAAAGGATTGTTGAAGGTACCCTGAGGTATTAATTTAATGCTGATCACCCTATGGAGATTCCATCCCTCAGCCGTACAAAACATGGTGTGTCAGCTGCACCTTAAACAAGCTGACTGTTGAAAATGCACCTTCATTGCATATTTACGTAACAATATAGGCTGCATCATACTGGAGAAATCCCATTACTATTTGGTTTTGTTTTTTGTTGAATCCGTATCAAATTCAAACCAGAAGAGTTTTTTGGTTCTGATAATTGCCACTAGAGGCCATGTTCGGACTAAAAACCCACCTGGTCCATCAGTCAAATCCATCAAAGTCTAAATCTTTACAGCTTTACCTATCATTGATTTTTCTTGTTATCAAAACTTTGGTGTTTCGATTGAGGCATATTTTAAGTGTTAGACATTTCACTTTGGGGGCCAAACATGGAAAGAATAGATTTTTTATTGAACTATTGCTGTGGAATTAGCTCTTGGATTGAATGTCAGAATGTGCATTCCACAGGTTTTACAGGTTGAGTTGACCCCCAAACCCAAAACCTAATCCCCCACCCCCCACCCCCACCCCCCGACAGATTATATCTTTTCTCCTGAGTTGATGCAAGGACATGTCTTTCAAAAGAGGTTGGTAACTCTCTTACATAACAACAGTGTGCATGAATGAATCTATGGGGGTAGGGCAGAAATTTGCTTTTCAGTTATGTGCAAGTATCTGCATAATTCTGAAGAATTTTGTTTGACTTGATAGATTTATTTGACTCAAAATAATCTAACATTGCTAGCTAGGCATCTGAGCATGCAGGTATTAAACTTGAAATTTTTCAAGACACTGAAATGCTAAATTGGGAAGCTGATATGTCATTGTTATGAAACAAAATCACAATACTTGACATACAAGTAAATGTAAGCATCACCAAATTACAGTCTTCTATTTTAGGGGATCGCTGGGGGCAGTCTTCATTTGGTTGAGGGAAAAATCTGTAATGGATGTCCTGATCTGTCAGTCTGTGTCTGTGCACAAGGGTATTTGTCCTGTTCTCTGGCCCTTCACACAGATGCGCAAACATACACACACAGACACATCTATGCCAGTCTGGGCTCAGAGGGGTTTTGGATTGGCGGAGAGCAAAGCTGCTCTTGTTACATCATCTCCTCCACAACAACCCTAAAACAAATTTGACATCAACTGAGTTTCATGAGACACAGATTCAGAAATAAGATAGATTGCAGAGATCTGTTTCCAAATATGGCATGAAGAGCTCACAGATAGCCCATGAAAACCAGATGCAAACAGTGCAGCTCTGATTTCCTGTATTCAAAGTTTATGTGCTTACTTGCAGTATGTTTGACTGCTACAAGGTTCCACTGCTCCTTGGATTACTTGTGCTAGCTGAAAATAATGTGAAATGTTTACATGATCACAGAGTAGTGCTAACAACAGAGGGCAAAATTAATAACATCAGTCTGACTATAATATAATGGTGTGGGATATTACATGTTATTACGTTATGATTTGTCTGATCTGTGATACCTCTAGAAGGTATCTAGAGGGAATAAAATGTCAAGTTATTTATACTTTCTGCCTACAGTTACACACCTCATCACCTTATTGTTAACAGTAATACGTATCTGATCCATGTTTTACTTTATAGTCACTGATACTAAAATCAAACATCCACCTCAAACACAAATGTAACTGCCCAGCATTGACTAAATATTGATTATATGAGGGTAGTGAGCTGATGATTGAGTTCAATTGGATGCCAAAATGCTCTGGTAGCTGCTATGATGTTGCTGATATACACTCAACACATTGTCTAATGTATGTTCAGCCCCAAAATTCATCCTCCAAATTTGAGGTTTCCTTCCAACTCTACCCCCAACAAAATTACTGGGTATTATCATGTTTTCTACTATTTGATGTGGAGCACTGATTAAACATTTGAATAATAAACATACATTAGGTGTTAATATAAAGAAAATAATTGACAAAAAAAATGGATAAGAAGGTGTGTCCCTTCCAGTGGTCGGAGAGCGAGAGTTCGCTGGGTTTGAAAGCAGGGGAAGCATGTGAGTGTTTTTTGTGGTTACCGAAAAGAAGAATAAAAAAGTGGGGAAGCGGAGTTACCACTGAACACGCTGTCCCGTCTCCTGTCCCGTTTATTGCTGGCAAGATCAATATATCTAAAGCTAGAGGCCCCATATTTGTGAACCCAGAACGCTCGGCTACATTACAATAGAAGGGAATCACACTCACAGCAGCCTGAACAGTTGTTTTAAAGACATATTAGATAGTGTTTATGAAGATATGAGGAAGATCCTGTCTGCAGTCAAATGGGATGTGAGATGGCTCTGATAGAAGGAGAAGATAAGCAGGGTCTGAAATTATGGCACATGTAAGTGGACAGATTAATGAGATGACAGCAATATATTTGTGACGCAGATTCTGAAATGTGTTTGATATAATTCATATCATTTGCTGAATAATTAAGCTAATTTTGGATTATTTTTAATACAGGCTCAGGATTTGGATGGTCCAAAGTAAAAATTCAACTGTTTAAAAATCAGACAGTGTGTTTTAAAGTCTCTTTACCCTATTCAGAATAATTCTATCCAGATTCGAGCAGTGTACCTACTGTGATTTTTAAGACCAAGTTTAGTGTGATCATAATGCAAAGAAAGCAGTAAAATGGTCCTGTTTTCCATTTTCACAAATCAGAAAAAGGTTTCACGAATCCCAAACAAGTTTTTGATAAATCTTTGGCCTATTCAGAATATTTCCATCCAGGTTTGAGCCGCGTGTAGCTACTATAGTTTCAATACAACACCTGGTTTTGAGTGATCAGAATGCGAAAAATGCAGTGAAATAGCCCAATATTCCATTCGTGAATCAAAAGCCAACTCCAGCTCCAGCTCGAGGCAAATTCATGCCTCTACAAGTTTATTTACAACTGTGGCTTTGTTCTTTTTTTTCATGTGACGTTGTAACGTGGCAACAGAAAAGCTGTCAGGGCTGACATACATGGTTGAATTGTTATTGTTGTTATGTTAGCATGTCGTAATTACGAGAAAAGGTCTCATAATTCCGAGACCAGGATGTTGTAATTATGAGAACTTTTCTCATAATCATGACAACTTGATCTCGTGATTACGAGATAAGGTGTCTTTTTCTTTTCAGTGAATGCAATGCGCTTCCGTAGTCTTTCCTCCCTCCCTTTGACACTAAAAAATCCTCACTTAAAGTTTAAATAACCACCAAAGGTAACCCTAACTATCTCCACTGCAAAATCCAACATGGCTGCCCAGCTCATCACTTGCACAGTACTTTTCAACTTTCACGGGTACAGAATTTGTCTCTTTGGTATTGCATAGTCTGAACAGAGGGCAAATTGCAGATCTTGATGTTAGACAAGATAACTTACATAAGTTCTGTCTCCAGATCTCCAAGTGTTCTGTCACCATCAATCTCATGGTCTCACTGGTTTCCTGGTAGGCTGCATTCAGTAATCACATTGTTCAGACCTCTACATCCCATCTGGAACCACATAAAATCTTCAAGGACATTATTGTCTCGTCTAATAAAAGCCTCCTATTTGTCTGTTGGCTAGAGAAAAATAATCTGTTAAAATACTGAGTTGATTATCATTACTCAAACTCAAAAATCAGAACTCAAACTGGGGGTTGGCACTTTAAAGGTCAGCTTGTAGGCATGCTGTGGGGAAGGTCAGATTACTAAGAAATAACTCTCATTTATAAGCAGCTTCATAGCTCTTGCAAAATCAGGTAGGTGTTCTGTATCAACTCTGTCTCACTTGATAGTTCAAGCTGATTTGGAATTTTATGCTGTACACAGTGTTCTCCATAATGCTTTGGTTAAAGTTCTAAAGACCTTCCCCATTGCTGATCTCTGTAAATGACAGCAAAGGAAGAGCCTCACAAAAGAACTGGAAGTTTTTCAGAATGATAAAGCTGCTGTTAGCTGCACAACAAATGAAAACGCTCTATTTCCACTTAATAGTAAATGTATGGAGCATTTCCAGGGTTACCCTTTTACACTACATACCTAATTCACTCACATAATCATTCAGCACTTCTTATATCTTGTAGGTTAAACAGTGCTTTATATACCCACAGACTGATTCTTCTACCGATGGATCGATGTCAAAGTGTCTTGTCCAATATGATTCGAACAACCTTGTGAATCCAACCACCAGAGTGATTGTCACTCACCTTGAGCTACAGCTGTACCGTTCTGCTCTTGTTCCAGCAAAACCCTTTCAAAAGTCACCATACAGACATCCTTCAACAAGATTAAGATCCCAAACATCCTGCTAAAGCAACACCAGAGTTTTTCAGAGCTAAAAAAAACCCTGACATTCTTCAATGAACAAGAATCCATCTATTTTAGATCCAAGTGAGCATGGTGTATAAAATAAAGAGCGTGGCAGCATCAAAGCTTGATCCGGTGATGTCATCAGTCATAAACTTCAAGCAGTCATTGTGTGTTAAAAATGTGCAACTAAACATGATTGATTTTTTGTATCTACTGTTGCTTTG